ATATCATATTCTTTAGCTACCTTTAATTAAAAAGAAGCAATAATATTTGTGTACTTCTTCCTTGTTCTGCAATGGGATCCATCTGGAGGTGTCATAAAAGAAAATTGAATAGCACTCAATAGTAATATAGGACTAAAAGGTATCACTGCTGTTTTGGAAGAAATTTCTACTGCAGTAAAGGTTAATACTTCTTAACTATCATAACACAACGTTTCAAAAAATATTATTTAAACCTGCAACAGAACAAACACAAAGGCAAGTCTGTTACTCCACCTGCAGGTGTCACATGGTGTATGATTACTGAACAAGAAACTATCACAGGATGCAGACAATTTTATCTGCCTGCCTGTTGTCTAATCTTTCTTCATTAAGGAAACCAATAGCGTAGCAGCAAAGGATTTGGCTCCCAGAACACCTGATCTGTTTCAAAATATTAAAGCATTTCAGCTGGAGTTTAAACTGAGTACCACTACTAAAAACATATAGGACAAGAGACAAATAGTCACACTTAATCTGACGACTGTCTTAATAGCATATAACGGTCCACTGCTTTTACAAAAGCTCTTACAAAAACACTGAACAAATAATACACTGGAACATCTTGCAGGTTGAGGGGGACACTGGAGGAGTCAGAGCGTTTTAAGACTAGAAAATGTGTGAAGCTATGAGATGGTATGGCTTCAACGGTAACAGAGAGAAAGGACACTCAGTTCTCCTTGCTCCTTGGTTAAAATGCAGTAGAGTCCTTCTGGCCATTTGCATGAGACTGCCAAAATGCTTTCCTGATAAACAAGACACATCTATCATCTTATTCAGTGGGTTGTCTTCTAACTGCTCCCAAGAACAAGAGAAGGTTGGTGTTTAAAGGGCAATGGGAAGAGATCCAAAGGTCAACAAAGGCGATAACATACAGTATCTTCTTTTTCAGGAAAGTCTTCCAAAAAATGATCACAGATCAGGTGTTCATGTAGCAGACGAGTGGGTCATAACATCACTGAAAACCTCAGTACAGACTTGTTGGTTCATGGATGAAAATTAAGCTGTTGTGCAACTGGAATGAAATCTTTTGCTACTGGCATTTTTACCTCATTAAGTGTGAAAATGAACTAGTTTATATATGTTTTATTGTATCTCTTGTTATATAGTATATTAAACCATGCCTTGTTTACTTACAGCTTCCTTTCTTCCCCCTTTGCTGTATTTGCATTTCTTGCTTGATCTGTGCTGGCTACTTATTTTTTCAAAAAACCCCAAACATATTTCTTCCATTTTTTTGCTTTTAAAATATGTTTTGCATGACCAAAATATTAAACTTTATTTTCTACCCAAATCATTAATAAAATACGTGAATGAAGAAAACCAGTTGGGTAGGCCCTGGACACTTTCACCAGGCTGATTGTATTTGCAATAGGTCTTTAAAAAAGACAACTGGCTTTTGTACTTTTATGTTTTAGGCAAAAATACAACTTTCTGTGCACACTTTTGGTTATGTAATATTATGCCAAAAAGCTCTTCAAGTCAGTTGCTCTAGTGTTAGATCAGATATCAGCTCTCTAATATTTGAATTTTGAGACCAATTTTGAAGTGAGGATGCAGTGCACTCGATTGCTGCATTAGCACAGATGCTCCTATGTTCTATACAGTGAAGCATTAAAAGGCCTTTTGTGTTTTTCTTTAAAAAAGTGTATTTTATATAAATTCTGTAGTGCAATAACTTCCTACACCATGTTACATTCTTTACGTTATATGCTTCCCCTGTAAACATCTTTTCTGTATGAACTTCCTTTGCAGTTTGTGCGATATATTATTCCCCCCACCCTAAGTTTGGATTAATGTGACTATTTACTCAAAAAATTGTCTGGATTACTCTCTGAACGTTTTTTAAATGTGTACATTTGGTTTCATCATGGAAAAGGAATTAAAACTTTGATTCAGGATTCTGCAGTTAGTATAAAATATAAAAAATAGACTGATTGCAAAGCTATTTATCTCCCTGAACAATCTTCATTTTCCAGTGATACAAAGAGTCAGACCCCTTTCAGGTGCACAGGGAACTCCCTTCATCCTAGAACTCCTTAAGTTGTTTTGACATTCCACAACTGCTGGAGATTGACTCCCAGAATTCAAACCCAACCCTCCCCTTACCATGGTGAATGGGTAAAAAGTCTGAAATGGCTTCAAATTTTTAGAAAACCAGAAAAATATACACAGGTAATTTTGCATAATTTGCTACAGAACAATTCACGATGAAGTGATCCTGGACTGCACTTCTTACACCTGCTGTACTGGGATGAAAGCTAGATCCAGTCCTGCAACTGCTCAAGTAAATGTTTTAATCAGAAATTATACATGAGCTGGGTATTCAGGAGTGGATCCTGTGTATGCAGTCAGGACTGGAAAACCAAATGTCTAAATCTGTGCTTCTGGAAATAATATTCAGTATAGTCAAAAGCATATAATGAAATCATACCAAAAACACTTCTAAAGCTTGATCCTTTTTTCCCCCCAATTTCAAAAAAATACAACATCTGTTAATAAAGGGAATTGCATTTCTTTTGCTTGTGTAATTTCCAAATAAATGTGCTTCTCTGACAACATTTTAAATATGACAGTCAGTAAGGGCCTGGTCTTCTCATTTATATAGTTAAAGCTCCTGTTGATTTTTATCGAGAGAGAGAGACTCTTGCCATCCTCATTTATATTTCAGTCAGTCCCTTTTTCCATCCGACTCCCATTGACTTTGGAAAAATTCATCTGCACAAGTACTGAGGCCTTGAATTTACCACTACTGAAATTTTACCAGTTCTAATAGCACAAAATCATGTTTGCGTAAAGTTTAGTTCAGGAGAGCTTAAGGAATCAAATCTCTGCTCCTGAAATACATTCCCTATGGTTGGACTCCTCCGCTTCCACCAAGTGGCACAGATCTGAGGGTTTTTTCCAAAGTGTAAGGGTCACCTTGGACAAAAAGCATAAAGAAGAACATGACACAGACCTCAGTCTTGCCAGAACAGCATCATTTTCTCGAATGGGATTTATCTGTGGATCCAGAGTATGGGATCGGTCTCATTTGGACTTAATTTGGTCTTCATTAGTTCACTAGGATATAAAGGCAGATCGAACAGGCCCATGTGATTTCATAAAACTGCACATAGAAAATACAGACCAACACTTTAGGCATATAAAAATTGACTGGCATTTAGTTTTAGTCACAGAAAATATCTAGTAACTACAAAATAAAAAAAAATTATAGATTAATGACTACAAAATAGTCAAGAGCTAAGTTTTGGAACAGTTGAGATACAACATGATTGAAAAATGTTAAGCAGAATGCCATATAAATAGGTAAAACTGAATGCAGCAACAAGTTGCAATGAATTTCAACTAATGACAAAAAAAAAAAAAGTCACTTTTATTTTGAGAATTAATGACCAGACATTGTTTGGATAAAAACGTTTTTCAAATGACTGAAGAGATGCTTCAGCATTGTCTTGTTACAGAAATCAGAAAACTTATGGAAATGCAGAAAACTTTATGGTTTGTTTTTTTTTTTAACCAAAGGATTGTGCTGTGCTCATTGATTGGCCCAGCCACCAGAATCCATAGTTAAAGGCTTTTCAAACTTGCCTTTTCTCCAGGGGGCAGGCTTGAGGTCTGTGGCATCAGCCCAGCCATTTCAAGCAGAGGGCAATGTTGCAACAAAAATGCTTGCTCTTTCACATTAAATACATTAAGTGCTTGCTTTTTTTACCCATTTAAGTGACAGAAAATAACATACAAGTAAAAATTAACCTAGGTCCCCTATGGGAAGTAAAAGCCTGCTATTACAAACCATGTGTTGGCTGGTCTAACGTGCTTTTAAGGCTTCCATTCTTGCTGTCTCAGTGTCTGCAATCCTTGCTGTTACAGTGCTGACCTGGAAGAAGCAATCACTCACTCCCTTTTGTGCATGAGGAAGTGAGAAGGCCGATCTCTGGCAATAGGCCTGTGGAGCAGTGGGGGGCTGATGCTAGAATTTCTAAACACCTCCTCAGAATTTTAACTGCTGGACCCTCTAGCTGTTAGCTTCAAGGCTGGACTGCTGCTCCTACAAACTGTTGTAAGGGAGAATCCAATTTCAGCAGAAATAAGTGGACCGCTGCTCCTACAAACTGTTGCAAGGGAGAATCCAATTTCAGCAGAAATAAGTAGACCGCTGCTCCTACAAACTGTTGTAAGGGAGAATCCAATTTCAGCAGAAATAAGTAGACCGCTGCTCCTACAAACTGTTGTAAGGGAGAATCCAATTTCAGCAGAAATCAGAGTACAGCAAAACTTTCCCATATTTTGTTTTAGTGAAACTGAACATTTTGTAGGACGTACCTGTGTAGCTGCGCACTTTTGATGAGGATTAATGGATTGAATAAATTTTGTATGATTTAGAGAATTAAAGTGATCTATAGGCTTTTTATATTACAGCAGAGGAAGCTATTGGTACTTGATAAAAAAAAATAGGTTTTTTTCAGACAGTGGTTAGATGGGTACTTTGTACTGAAGGCTTTGGTTCAGCATCTCTTTTACAAAGCTGGAGAATATCAGAGAAACCAAAGATGCTTTGGCAATGGAACTACTGACATTTCCCTTTATTTAGGGGAAAGCCTATACTCCATTTTGGGACAGCCATGGGAGGATGGGTTGAGGCAAAGTTGGTGAGTCAGGTGATGCCGTCTGTCAGTTCAAATGATTGAACTGAAAAACGCAGACAAGCTTCAGGGCATGGAAGACCTGCGGCAAGTGACATGTACTTGAAGCTTGTTTTTTTCAGCTATATGATTTGTGATGATAAAAGGTACTACTTCCCCTTACAAAGCTTGTCTCTTATGTCCTTACACCATAACAGTTTCAACAACGTTGCCATTGAAGTATGGCCACTGCATGCCAAGAAAAGGGAAAAAAGAGCTCAAAGGTTGTGTAGAAGAAATCTGTTAAATCAAAGGGAAAAAATAGAATGCGTGTAATTTTTTTTTAAGACCAAGTTAATAGAAATATTCTAAGAGATTGAGAACTTTTGAATATGTCTGTATAGCCATTTGGCACTATTTATTGCCACAGAAGTAACTATGTTTCTTATATTTTAAAACGGAACATCTTTTTTCTTAGTTATGAAATGTTGGCAGTTTTCTGTAAAAATATCAAATGCTTTAAGTTCTGGTCATTAAATCTTTGCTTTTCCTCATAGGATCATTAATTAAACTGACAAATGCAACTAAGGTTATGCAAATAAAAAAAGTAATCATGATTTACAGCACAGATAAACTAAAATACTGTAGTCCTTAATTAACAGATACACTCATGAGCTTTTTAACAGAAAGCAAGATACGTGAGATGCTTTAAGTAGAAGTTGCAATTTTGCAACATAAGTCTGTACAAAACCTCCAGGCAGCACGCTGTGAAGGAAGTACCTGTGTCCCAGGAAATTCTTTTTTCCATGAATCCTTGTTAACAGTAGCTTTCCCCCCAACCCCAAACTATTTACAAATATATGCATTTTGCAAGCTCAAAGCACCTTGTTTCACATCTTTATGAGTGCATGCATTGACATTTCATCCTTTCATGTGCAAATTCTAAAATTCATTGAAACCAAAAAAACAAAATAAAGTTAAAAGAGTTCAAAATCTGTCTACAATCATGAGTGAAAGGATCAAAAATGTCATATGTTGCAGAACACTGGCTCCTAACAGAGCTCTCTTTATTGTATTCACTGTTCTTGAGTCATTTTTTTTCCTGTTTTTTTTCAGTTTGTTACAAAAAGCAGTCCCCATTTTTAAGTAAACAGTATTTAAACTAAACAACTCTTCATGCCATGCAAAAATAACATTTTATGCACTTTTTTGAGGCTTTCCATGTTTTAGTTAATAGGCATTACTAACTTTTTAAAGAAAAGGTATTTTTATTGCTTTTGTAACTAGTCACATGCTAGTTTCGCGTGTGGGACAGTAACCAGTTTCTCCTGGACTTGAATGAATTTCTGGGGCAAATAAATGGTTTTCCATTTTGTGACCTTCTTGGTTACTGTCTTGCTTTACCTCACCCACAGCATGGTAAATGTCTTGAGTACAGTTGTGGCTCATGCTTTTGGGTGAAGAGCTGACCTGTGGCTCCTCTGCTAAATGGTTACCATCACTCTGCTTATCACCACAGCAATTTGTCTTGATATCCTGTTGTTTTTCATGTTCCATACCATGTAATTCCATAAACTCTTCTTCTTCTCCAGTGTCTATTTCAGTGAAGCTTCTCCTCTCTTTTGAAGGGAAAGTGAATATCTTTTTTTTGGGAAAGAGGGGAGATGATTTTTTAGCAGGTCCCTGACAAAGTGCTGATGTGTCAGCACCAAGTAAAGGTTGTTCACCTTGGGGTGAATTTTCTTCTAGGAGAATGGTGCTGATGTGCTGAGGGGTGACCTGTGTGAAGTCTGCTCCTGCTGTTACTGGCAGTGGCCTTGCAGTGCTTGGTGGAGTTTGTGGAGCACCACCTCTATTGTCTTTAAAATTAACTTTAAGGGATCTAGATTTTAATGGGTTGCTACCTTTCAGGGAACTTTTGGGGCTTTCCATGGGAGTGTCAAAATGCAAATGGCCATGCAAAACAGTTTGGGACCCACTGCTATCACTGGTAACAGCTCTGTTGATTGGATTATAGTCAAAGGTGACATCGGTTGGAGAAAACATTCTGTCTTTTGTGAATGGTATAAACTGAGAACTCCTTACTCTTTGGTTGTCCTCCAGGTTAACAGAATCAGCTGGAAATCTCATTTGCAAGTGAGAAACAGGAAACAGAGAAAGGGGAGACCTTTCTGTTTCCGTGAAGTCAGTTGCACAACTGGCAAAACTGTCAATACTGGATGTGCTTCTCATGTCCATTACAATGTCTGTAGGTCCAGCTGACAACGGATCTCTCTGACCTCTAACTTCTTCCATTTCTATTTCTTCTTCATACCCAGGTGGCTTTGCTGACTGGTCTTGGTAACCAGCATTAAGATTAGTCTGAGACTGAGATTTGGTAATTTCATTATACAACATCTCCAGTTTTTGGGCACTGAGGTGCTGCGGGCTGGAGGATGCTGCGGTGTTGTTTAATTGCTCGTTGGAGTCCTGCTGACTAACTTCTTGGTATTTGTTCTCGTAAGACTTGTTTGAGCTTGTTTCAGACATTGTCCTTCTGGCCCATTTCCACCTGCTTGGGGACAGGTGGTTGTCATCAGGTGTCTCCTTTTGATTGACTGCTTCTCCAGGCTTACCTGAATCTACTGCTACATCTATCATTTCCATACTGCGAGCAAAGGCATCTTTCAGGTTCATGGAGACAATACTGCCATTTCTTTTAGCTCGCTCAAGTGCTTCTCTCCTCTTAATTGCCTTCTCCTGTCTTTTCTGCTCCTTATAAAACTCTGAGAAATTGTTCACGATAATTGGTATGGGCAGGGCTATGACCAGCACTCCAGCAATACAGCAAAGTCCTCCAACTATTTTACCTAATAACGTCTTAGGATAAATGTCACCATATCCTACAGTAGTCATAGTGATTGTTGCCCACCAGAATGATGCAGGGATACTGGTGAATTTTGTAGCATCCTCATCCTTTTCAGCAAAGAATACAAGACTCGAAAATATCATTATTCCCATGGCTAAAAATAATATCAGCAAGCCCAATTCATTGTAACTCCGCCTCAGCGTAAAACCTAAGGACTGAAGGCCTGTTGAATGTCTGGCGAGCTTAAGAATCCTTAGGATCCTCATAATACGAAATATCTGAACCACACGTCTAACGTTTTGGAACTGCAGGACACTTTTATTGGACTCCGTGAGGAAAATGGTGACATAATATGGCAAGATAGCCAGTAAGTCAATGACATTTAATGGGCCTTTGAAGAACTTCCACTTATTTGGTGAGGACAGAAAACGCAAAAGATACTCCATGGTAAACCAAGCAATACACACAGCTTCAACGTGTGCTAGCTGAGGGTTGTCATTTGGCTGCCCAAATTCATCTATTTCTTGAAGCTCTGGCAGCGTGTTAAGAGACAAAGCAATAGTGGACAGTACGATGAACAGAATGGACACAATGGCCAAAATCTGTAAAACAAAATAAACAATATTTTGGTTAGACTGATACAAGTGTATTTGTCATTGCTTGCTTAAATCCTTTCAAATGTGCATGTGTCAAATAAACACACAATGGTGGAAGCTGCTTTGGCTGCTGCATTCATTCTTTTGTTTCAATGTTTTGATTTTTGCACAGAGAAGACATTAGAACCATCTTAGACACAGTGAAAACCTGATTGTTTTACTGTCTGCAGTAAGCCAATTCATTTCAGAAAGAAAGACATAGCTGGTCTTACCATTTTTAAATCACAATGGGAGGTGACATTTATTATTGCATGTTACCAAGCAAAGGCTATAAAGATTCCTGCTAACATGTAGAACATTATTAGTTTTCTGCATTATGTGTGATTATGTAAAACTTTACACAGTGCAGAGAAGTGACTGGGAAATAGCAGGTGTAGACTGAATTTAGTACTACATAGTGCACACCTTCTTAGCCATGCTTAGATTTATGAGCCAAAAGTCAAACTTACGAGAAAAACAAGAAGCATTGTTCACAAGACTAGTCCTGCCAAATTATCATGTCTAGGCAAATTTCAGGTGCTCAAGAATTGAAGGTATTGGCCCTGAATTAGGCTGAGTGCAAGATGTTAAAAAGTAAGGAGTAGTGTGAAGGTAAATCCCGTTTTTCACCATGATTAAAATGTATGAGTTGACAGATACTTCCTAGAAATAATGTTTCAATTTCTGTCTCAGGAGACAGGTTTTCTGAGATATTTTTTCATTCATTCTGATAAAGCTTAGGCACTTCCATACTTCACAGCCTTTCATTTTGTCTGGAATAGCTGGTCATTCTCATTTACAGAACCAATATTATGAGAAAAGAAATGAATCTATCAGACAACCTAATGGTTTTACTATGAAGTTTAGTTATTTATACTCAAAGGAATATGGTCAGCTTTGAGATAGTGTGCAAAGTGTTACAGTGATACAAAAATTGTTATAACACTTTACTTGGAAAAAAATATATCAGTTTGGTTAGAAGTCCTAAGTAAATCCAGTTTTCTATTAGAAATACTGCAATAAATTATTTTCCATTTTAAAACTCAGTTTAAGCTCATTTATCAAAGCATTTGAACTCATTTGTCAGAAGTGGTTCTGTTAAATCCATTTGGTGACATTTGGTGTACTCCAGTGACACACTAAGTCTGACAAAATTGCTGTAATATTCAATAAGAGTGAAAGCATCTAAGCAGAATGCAGGTTTGATGAGTAGTTCATGGGGAGAGATCAGTCGCAGTGGCAATAAGAGCTCCAGAGATGGAGAGGCACCTCGCTCTAACTTGGAGAAAAACATCAGTATGCCTGTTTCAGCTATGGGCTACTAAGCACAAATTCAGCTCTCTAAGCACAAACTGAAATTGCTCACAGTGTGAGAGTCCATATTTGGCATCATCATGTACTTGTGTGCTATCTTTGTCCTCTTTCAGCTAATAATAGTACAGAATAGGTAGCACCTTTCGTATTTGAAGTATTCCAAACAGATTTCTATCTCTCCCTACCAGCACTCCTTCTGTCATTTTTTTGTTTTCCTTATTGGAGGAATAAGATCTATTAATTTCTCCTGCCAAGTGAGTTGTGGACTACTTGTCTTCATCCTTCATACAGCCCATTCAGAAGACATACCCTGATCAATCTATCCTGTTTAAGAGGGCTATGCATCCCTTTAAAACTTCTGCTAATCACAGCAGTAGAAGCAGCCAATCTTAGTAAAGAAAGAAGGTGATAACGCTGCATATCCACACAGGGGTGATTAATGAAATTTGTGATGTCCTGTAGCTAGGACAGAGGCAGCCAAAAGACAAATCTATCACAGAGCAGTAACTGCCTTTCAAACTGTGCAAGTTGCCTGATTCAGACTTCACTGATTGAAGCTTAAATAAAGTATACTAGGTTCTTCGCTTCACTGAAATCACTATGAAATAACTAATGCATGCTTGAGTTCTCTAAAATAGTCAATAACTTAATTATACTTTCAGAATTCAAAGAACAAATAAACATGGCACAGGTCTGAATTGTTGAGCTTGCAATTCCTGTCAGACTGATGCCTTCCTCATTGGAGATGGCATCAGAATGTAAATAACAGCACTGGAAAAATCTGTATAATACAAGGACCCAGTTACTTGACATGCATTGTTCTTAGAAAAGAAAGTCATGAGAACTTATTTGCCCAACTGCGGTCAAACTGGTTTTAATTAGGAAATACTGTCATTTCAGTATGTCGTAGGGAGTTTATTTTATGCCTAAATGTTCACCAGCATACAAAAGATCATAGTAAAGAGGTGATTCAATGTATAGCACCCCTTCTTACACTGTGTGACAAGGCTGAAATTCCGTGCATTTTATAGGTCTTGAACAGAAAACTTTCTTGCCATCCAGAGTGTTTTACTGACAACAACCATCTATCTGTTTCTTCCAGCCATTCATTCATATGGTGGTAACGTGCAAGTCTCAACTCTGCCAGCTATTTTAATAAAACATACTATATAGTAGGCTTGGATTTTTTAGTGTTTTAGGCGTGTCATCTGTAAGCATGAGTCTGTTCTTGGTGAAAAGAAAATTTCCAGTGAAGCAAAGTATTTTGGTTTCTTCTAAGAATCTCCAGCTTTTATTTGTCTGGGACTTTGTTGTCTAACTAAAGTTCTGCATCGTCCCACACATGGTATGTTTTAATTATTGCAATTGATTAGAAGTTACAACTCATTAGGCAAAAAAAAAAAAAAGGCAGAGGATCAGTAGGAAGAACAATAGAAACCATGAGAAAAAGAAGTAAAAAAAGGCACTCCCTATTCAGAGTCTACATAAAGAACACTGTAGATAGTACTGCCCTGGTAAATCCTCATAGAAAAGACATGTCTTATATTAACAGAAGCATTGAGTTTATAAGAAAGGCCTGTAGCAATCTGCTAAACTAGCTATACTGATACAGAAGAGCAAAAAACCCACAGCTGACTGACTAATTCCCAACAAAACTTCATGTGTTAGGTGCATGTTTCTGGAACTGTATTCTAGACTGAAATGCCTGGAAAATTTTACATACTTCAGGTAATCAATCTCTAACCACAGTTTGTCTATGTCACTCTTGATATACTATTTTAAATCTGCATTGCAGAATATAAGCAATACTCTGCTTAAATAACAGATTCTGGCAGTTTATGTCATTTAGCTGTATTTCTACAAAACCACACAAAAATCCAACTCTTATTAAACTTTTAAAATATGTCCTTATAAAATGCAAATTGTTTCTGAAAAAAAATGATGTACTTAAATGCCTTTTTTATGGGCTGGATACGAGACATTTGAATCTGCTACTGATGTAATGAATAGTAACATACTCCTTGAGGTAAGATGCAATCTTAACAGGCTGCTCCAGATACGGTTGTTTCTGATCTTTGAGAGGGCACGGAAAGACTGGTAGCAATCTCTTGGAAAGTTAGTGGTTTCCCAGTATTAAATTGCCACTAAAACCTGGCTTTTTTCCTGTGCACCCATTTCAGTGCTCATTATTGTTAGCATTGTGAAGACTTCTGTATAGAACGCGCATACAACTGAGGCAGAAAATAAAGGTGTAAGGAATAGGCTTCAAATTGCTCCTTGCAGTTCTACAATAACTGATATTGTGAAAAGGCTTCTGACATAACTGATTGTTATTGTTATATAAAGCAGAGAAAAAGTATACATTGGGTTCCCACTAAAGTTTAGCTGCTCAGGGAAGGTTCAGTTGAGCCAGATCTAACTGCCAGTGCACTATATTTGATTAATGTTGTTTTCAATCTGTAATCAGATAAAACTGTAATAGGAATGTTGTTTTCTTATTTCTTTTCTCCAGGATTGGATCTAGGGTAGGATCTAGATCATTTAAATAACAAACAGCAATATAGTCCCGTTACTTTTCAAATCTCTAGCCTCCATAAGCACTAAAATTTATCAGACTGTTAACTATGCTTCTCTTTCTGCATAGAAAAGTATGCTATCTTCAAATAAAGTGCTCTGGCAGTAACTTTATCTCTGGCTTTAAAAAAAAGAGTAATCTTTCAGCTTTTGAAAGACTTCTGATAACGGTTTCTGGAGAACTATCAACTTTCTTGAGCACTTAGCTATATATTCTCAGAAGCATCTGCTCTTGGGAAAGAGGTGTCTAGGTCTAGATTTGGGCAGATAGGTAGCTGGAGGTTGCCTAGGTTCTTCAGAAACACCTGAGAGCTCTCAAGTGCTGTAGCCAGCAGACCATGCTGTATCTTGCCTAAAGGTGTCCTTAGCTTGTAGCACAGAGCTTCCAGCTTGGGCCCAGACCATCCATCAACTCACAGTCACAGTGGCAGAAGTAGAAGGTCAGATCATGGAGGTTTTCATTCCTCTGAGCCTGTGAAAATGCGATACATTTGTAGGCTTGGTGGGAAGTTTATGGAAATTGGTTTAAATCAGCAGCATCCTTTACTGTCATCAGTCTTCAGACTGTGATACTGAGTTTGCAATTGAATGGAAAAAAAGTTTTGCTCAATAGGAGCACTGTCTTGTACATCTGCCTAAATCTCTGTGTCCTGTTCTTCACACCTGGAACTATCCAAACAAGATGCTCATTGGAGCAACAAAGATAACACTACAAATTGAGCTGCCTTCCAGCTATAAGCATTATCACATGAGGAATTTGATCAGTCAGGACATTAGTCTGTAGATATTTAGGGGAAGGGGCCAGTATACTTTCCTCCAACAATGCAAAGGAGAAACACATTTTTACATTTGTACAATCAGGGTAAGTGCAAGGATATTTTACCAGCTGATAATAGCATTTATCAGTACAGAACTATTGCACTGCCTTCAGCAGTTCCCACTACTTTTCCTTGCTGGGGACTGCAGAACAAGATCATGAGACAGCATCTCTGTTCCTTGTCTCTTCACTGTCTCCCTTCACTGTGTTCCTGGGACTTCCCAATTACAAGCATCACCTCTTACTTCTGGCCCACCATTCT